AATCACTGCCACCTACTGTATTCGTAGGGCCTAATTATACGGCATAATTTGGACTCCCTATTTTTGGCCGAGCTGTGACAAGGATAAGACCTTGTCAAATTAACGACTGCGCCTATATATGCTCCGGGATGTTTTAGTTCCATCTGCCATTTTTAAACACTTGCTGTCGCTTTAAGGTGCTGCTATAAGAGCTTGTCAGAACTGTTCTAAAACGGGGTCACCTGGATTAAGCAGGTAGCTGGGGAGGTTATTTTGATTATGTAGGCAGCGTGTAGGCATCGTGTAGGTATTCCTCATCAGAACTAAGACGGACTGCGATTGCGATTTGACCAAAGAATTGATTTTGTATTGCTGAATCCTGCTGCGCCAACCCCGTCCAGCCCAACCTCCCCGGATGCCCCAAAATCAAAGTAAGCGCTCAAAATAGTTGCCCTGACAGTTTTGTTTCCACCTGAGTATATGTACATAGTAAAAGAGAAAAAAAAAGTCAAAAAAAAGCATGCTGAAATGATTTGAGGTAGCGACTGTAAGAAGATTCAAAGTAGCAAGGTCGAAACGATCGAACACGTGCAGGGTGGGAAGTACCAGCCACCGAAGTTTGTCTGCTCCCAGCACGATCGTCAAGATTGCGTGTGTTTCCGGAAGAAGATGGCATCCGCTTTTTCAAAAAAGTGAAGAAGAAAAGAAGAAAACGCTGTCGTCATATCCCCCAAGTCTACATCCACGCTGCGGATGACTCTATATCGTAAATGAACGAGTGTAAAGCTCTGCTATCGAGAGCCGTAAACGAAGGGTGGCGCAAAGGGCCGAAGAAAGGAATGAGGGTATCTCATCATGGCTGTCGTTGATCGTTACCAGCGCGTAGTGCGGTAAATTCTTTTGAGGGTAAAAATGGCCGCAGGCCGAGTCGACGGGAAAGGATGTTCCGTATTTTAAAACTGGCCGAGGACGTATTTGCGCTCGACTCGCTCTATCTCCACATCACGACTTGCTTTTGCTTTGGAAGGTGTGCCGAGGGTGCAGATGAAGTCCGTTTCCGAGCTGGTGACTGTTTGGACATCCTGAGGGTGGTAGTATGCCGTGGAGCACGGGAACACTTCGCAGCCAGACACCAACTTCTTGTGGCTGGCTGACTTTTCGCTGGCTGGGTACAGTTGCTTGACACCGTCCTTGTCGTTGGGGTTGACGATGGCAGATACATCGTAATACGTCAAGCCATTCCAGCCCTGAAAGGTAAGCCTGGCAAGGAGTCAATCTAAGCTGTTGTTTGTTGGGGCCGCAATGAATGATGATACTTACTCGGCTAGCATACCAGGGACATCTGCTGCACCCTTCGAGACGGAATACGCGTTTCCAATCCAACCGTGGGGGAAGCTGACCTTGGACTGCTTATTGCCAGCAATAACGACAGATTTGATACTCGATTGCCCAGCGCTGGGAGTGAACACAATGGTGCGTTGAGTGGAATCTTGGTTAACGAACGTAACGGAATTGGCTCCAGCCAGGGTCACCGCCGCAGCAGCAAAAGCAGCCAAGTGTCGTAGGAAATGCATGGTGATGGTATGATGGTAGATCGGCGAGATGTGTGTTTTCAGGAAGGTGAATGAATGGTTATATAATACTAGCTAGATCAATAGCCAGGCTTGATAGTAAAGGACTGTGTTAACCGTGGGGGGAAAGAAAGGAATGATAGCCACGGATAGCTGGTAGGGAAGATGAAGTGAAATAGATCGAGTGTGTGTTGAATCGAAGGAAAGATGTCGTGGAACTTTCAAATTCCCAAGACTAGATAATATAGGTAGACTACTGCGAGCACAAAGAAAGGCGGCCTGCGGGCAGGATCTGACTGTGCCACATTGCCTTCTTGGTGCCAACACTTTTCGAGCAACCGAGTTTCGCCAGGGGGTCTATTGAATTCATCTAACCGCAGATAGGCAATTCGGATGACATGGCTAAGCCATCAAGGGTGAAGGAACTTGCCAATATTATCGCATCTGAGATGCAAGTCTTGCGTCATGTTCGAGACTCGCTTGCGTCGGAGTTCATCTTGGTATGCAGATATGGTCACAACAGTGAATCCTCGATCGTGATTTCAGTGTAAGAATAGTGCATTCAACCGGTATCCGGATCGGTTCTCTCCTCGTGACTCCTCGTCAAGGGCACGGAGTCTGAAGTAGGTAGGTAGGTAGACCCTGGATGTGCCTATTTCGCTATTTCAGCTTCAACCTAGATCCGCCAGCCGGACGCCGCACAGGCGCTTCGTAGAAAAGAAGACATGACGCTCCACGTTGGCGGAATGGACCCTGGAGGCAACATTGTTTCATGAATAGTGTACGCAGGTACCTGGTCGGGTCGTTTCCCTTGGCATGCCGCCGCATACCTACATAGTAACCAACAATGGGTTGTGTAAGGCTGACGCAACTACGCTAGACAAGGGGCCGGAGAGTCGGAGACACGGCAGCGTAGGAGGACCGGACTCTATATTCTCCTCAAACTACTGGCTGCCTACATGCGGTAGGCATGTAGTCTAGCAGGAACTTACATGGCGCCGGCTGGATAGCTGGGTGCTTCTTGCCATGCACTCACTGACCGGGCGGGAACATTCAGGGCGGCGTCGGGCATCGGATGCGGGACGGCGGAAACCAGTGAGCCTCGAACGTGGGAGCAAACGACACTATTCAACTTGGCTTCAAATTCGCCGAATGTTTTCCGCATGATATATGAGCTCTGATTGGTCTCGTTGTCGACCGTGAGTTGTGCCTAGTTTGTTGGGTTCTGGACCGGAACTCCATGTGGCATCATCCCAGAGGCCGAAACGCGGATTTAATATTCACTATGCAGCGTAGATATCCTGCAAGAATCGATAATGCAACCAAGATCAATCATCTAAACATGCGTGCCTGGCAGGCGAACGCAAACTCGGGACAAACAACAAGAGTGTCTGGTTACTGCATAGGCAATTGTCTAGACAATTCGTCTGTGATTCTAAAATTCCTGGTGATTCGCTGTGTGCTGTCAGAGTTAGGCAAACCAATCTCGGTACTGCAGCCAAGATGGCAGTTAACTTGCATGCGTACGTTATCTACGCAGATGCTGTGATCGATCTTGTCATGGACTCTGCGAGTCATGACCACGCTATTTGGAGAACTAACGTCTTCATGAGAGGTACCTTATTGTTCGGCCGTGAAGCGACGCCACCGAGTGCCATTCGCCTACGATCCCTGTCGATGTGTTTGAATAGGTTAGATGGCCGAGCAATGCGGTGAGCGGAACGATAGGCTTCAAAACGTTGCCGAGTCACGGCTCACGGCGCGTGTTGAAGCATCTCATACCGTGTCTACCTACCTATGATAGAGGCAAGTCCTATGCTTATGCCCGGAAATAATTGGAATATGTAGCCGCTAGTTATGGGATAGGTACTCTCCGTAGGCGCCGGTTGTAGTTGCAGACGCTGATCATTTTACGGCGCGTACGATGCGGTTCTCTTATAGAACAAAACGCGACTGTGTTATAGCGACCTTTGTTGCGCCCACAATCAGCATTCTTGCGAGAAGGAAAAAATCGCCTGCAATGTATGGCAGCTGATGACAAGTTTATTCGTGATTGATTGCGATGACTATGGATGAGATGAGAGAGATTAGGCTTGTGAATACGGAATGATGTGCTGGCACTTTACCGCCTTGTTCGGCCTATCGCATACTCCGGCCATCACCCTACCTACTCCACATCGACAGGGGCTACGTATACTCAGTAGCAGAGGCGGTGCGGCCGGGCGGCCGAGTAGTGCTGCAGGACGAACAACAGGGTGTAAGTCCATTCAGTCAACGTAGATGCTATCGGTATACACCGTGATTCATACCTCGCCTCATGCTCGTTCAGTATGTAACGCTCGGCTGACTGCAAGGATTCGGAAATAACCAATCGGATAGGTCGGGCAAGTAAGTGCCCAGGCCTACATAGTTAAGGCGGTAGCATCTAAAGGAGAGAGAAAGAGGGAAAAAAGTGCGGTGAGTATGAAGAATGCATGGCCTTCGGATTTCATCCTCAGACTATTGATGAAGCTGTACCTCAGGTTGACGTTATCCCAACTGAACTGTACCGCGCCTGTTGAAAACTGAATTGCGCCGAACGGGTTCTAGCTAAGTATGCCGCCAATCCACCCCGACGTTGCCTACTTTTCTGGCTTCAAGTTGCCCGATTCAATGAAGGATGCCGATGATGATAGGCGAATGTCTATTCGCTGCACTGGAGCAACACCATCAGGGACGACCGGGATCCGCAGACCAAACTGTGCGGCTTACCACAGTCCAGCCTGTGCAAAGCCCGAAGTTTGTTGGGGCATCAAGTTGCAGCTGCACTCCCCCATGGGGTCATTTCATTCCGCTTGGAACCGCAACTAGAGCTGCTGCTGACGCTATTTCCCCCGAGTCCGCCGCCACCCAGACACACATGCGGAGCAAGAGCGGAAGCTCGGCGGAGTCCGCCAGAGAGATTAGACAAGTTTCCCACAGAGGAGACTCGTATATCAGGTGAAGCTGCGAGCCGCCTGACAGGGTCAAAAGGACTCATTGATGCCGAAGTATTCACAATACTTTATCACCAGACAAATGAGGGTAGCACGGGTGCTTGTTAGGATGGGCGCAGCGGGACCACCCGACTTCTCGAAGAGGGGTCTTCGGCGACAACTTCATCTTTTGCTATTATTGGCATTGGTGCGGCGAAGACAAACACCGTGGCCGGGACTCCGAGGGAGTAATACTGCCCAACTTGCCAAATGGAACCTGGGAGTTGGATGACTTCATGGCGGCCTCTCCCCCATGTCTTCGGCATCCGAAATCATCGACCTCTCGTTACCGACTCTTGTGCCAAGACTATACCGTTCTGCACCAGAAACACTTGCACTCTCGACAGGTTGTGTCTTAACCACGACATAGGATACCTACCTAGGTATAACTAGGCAGAGAAGTCGCCGCTAAAATCACCACCACACTAACTCATCAGCGGGGATAGTTCAGTTGGGAGAACGTCAGACTGAAGTGAAACTTCATCAATAATCTGAAGGCCGTGCGTTCGATCCGCACTCACCGCAAATTCGTCTTCTTTTTTCTCCCCCTTTGCCAGCCTCAGGGGAAATACGGCAACGGTACGCTCAATCAAGTGTGCTACCGGTATCAAAGGATGCGTTAACGCATGGCTCTGTTCATAACTTGAGATCGAGGTCAAATGCGGTTTCGGCAAGTGGCTGGTCAGATCATGCGACGGAAACTCATGACAGGAATTGGTCCGTCACGCAGTCGGTGATAGGTGGCTGCTCTCCGGCCGTCCAACTATGTACAGAGATGACTCTCACAGGCGTGTCCACCTATGGGTGAGCGGACGGGATCCGGGCTATTCCAGCGGGTGTGGTCGTACATGGTGGAATCGAGCTCAATCACAGCCTAATGAAGAAGACGAGCCATCGATATTTGTGCAGCGCTGCGAAGGCCTGGTCCGGCCTGCCAGATTTCGTCCGCTGGCAAAATCGGCAAATGCATTCATCAGCTCTCTACATGATCTCCAGTGTGTACGGACACATACACATACGCATACACAATGACAGCCCACGTACAACAACACGTCGCGGCCGGAATGCTCTAGAGGAGGCCTCACAGGAAGCTCCAGTCACTGCCAGTGTTCATCGACTTTGCCGGCGGATGGAAATCTGGCGGGTGGACGGGTGGAACCCGACCGAACACTGCGCACAAACAAGATTGTTGAGACTGCGTGTTTACCAACGCTCGTCGACTTCTCAACCGGTGGCTGGGAACCGGGCGTGCTTTTCTTTCACAGCGCCATTGAAGATAAAGTCGGTCAAATCGGAACAGAAAAACGAGCAAGGTTGGGCACGAAAGGTGGCGTAATACCCCAAGTACGCCCATCGGCTGGTGCTGACAACCAGCGGAAGTGCCCGGCCAGGTATTCCGTATAAACGCATGCTACGTACGGATCGTATAAATGGGGTTATTTATGCCCTATCAAGGTATAGTATCGCATCAAAAGGAATAGAATTGCATAAGTCCATTAGTTATGCAATGGAACCTTGAGGCAAATTTCTTCGTGCGATAGTTGTGTCTCGTCACCGTCACCGTCACCTACCATTGTGCTCATGATCTCCGCACCACCCCCCGGAGTCGTCTAGTCCCGGTTTGCTTTTGCCAGGCGGCATCCAAATATCCATCCAATGAAATCCCCCGTCACGGCGCCAATTCATAGTCAAACTGAGACATTGCCAGGGCAACACGAGATTCTGCAGCTCAGCACGTTACCAAACGACCGACATTGTATAGGCAGAGTACCCGTCCCATAACTTTCTACGCTGCTATACCAGGCGGCGGCGAGATTTACACCAGGCACCGTCAGTTCCTCCCTGCCGATAGAGCCGAAATCTTAGCCGTGAAACTGGAGCAGCGACATGCAGCAGGGAGGCAATGCGGCGGCGCTGTTGGGTCGATCAGTGCACATCATCGATGGCAGCCCAGCAGCCAACCGAGACCGCCCCGCAACATGGTCACATCAAGCAACCACTCGATGGCATACTAAGTAGGCAGTAAGTCCGTAGGTATCTTTTGTGGTCTTCATATATGACCTCGTATTACACGGTGGCCTGCCCACTGACTTACACACTACGCAGTAGATGGTTACGGTGCCTTGCCTTGCCTACCCATTTCCTCGACGGCAATGAGGCTATCCTGCTTCCATGCCGGCCCGGATGCGACGTTGATTTCTTGAGGGCGGTCGCCCTCGGCTATCTCGCACAGCGGCACAGATTCTCTCGCTTGATATAGCCTATGCTTAACTACTACGTCTATATTATAGACATGTGCTTACGTTGCTCCGGAGTCTGAACTGCGTCAGGTGCCTACGCATAAAAATTTTGATGTCGGAGTACCGGTATACTACTTTTCAGTGTGTGTGCGTGTGTCGTAATGTTTCTAATAAATGGATAGGGTAGCGGTCAAGCATGGCCTGTGTTCGATCCGGTACAGCTGGTATCATTCGTCCCAATTAACCGGATTGGGACGGTATGTCGATCGTCCCCTACGTATTCACATCGGCCCAGCCACCTATCATGCATCATCACCCCAGAAACGAGGTTCAATAGAGCAACTTAGTTGTCAATATGGGCTAGGGCCGCTGGGCTCTTGCCACAACACATCTACCAAGTCGGGCAGTACTGATCCAGTCCCGTGGAGAAAAAAAGATATATAGGCTGCTAGCCAGCGCCGCTTGTTGAACTTGGTTTTCCTCTCCTTCTCTCTTCACCCAGTACCGTATATATAATTCCTCCTCACGTTGGCATTGTATAACTGTTCAATCCAACTCGTCACTCGCTTCGATACCTCGAAAAGCTAAATACCTTTTAATCCTAATTTATTCCCCGCGCATCCGCAACCCGTCATCATCATGAAGTTCATCCAGACCTTGGTGCCCGTCGTTGGCCTGTTTGTGTCTGTCAAGGCTGACTACCCGGTTTCCTCACCGGAGTACCCTGTGACCTACCCTACGGAAACCTCTGGATACCCTACAGAGACCTCATCCTATTCCACAGAGCCTGTCACCTACCCAACCTCGACTGTTACCTACCCAACTGAGACATCTTCTCCCTACCCAACGGAAACTTCTTCGTCAGCATCGTCATACCCTACAAGCACGGCCACCTATCCTACTGAGACTCTAAGCTACCCGACTGGGACGCTCTCCTACCCTACTGAGACCCTCAGCTACCCCACGGGACCTTCCACCTACCCTACGGAGACGCTCACCTACCCAACCGGAACCGTCTCCTATCCCTCGGAGACGACCAGTTACCCAGTGACATACCCCACGTCTACAGTTACCTACCCCGGCCCCAGCTCTAACTCAACTTTCGTCACTTACCCCACGAGCTCTGCGCCAGCCACAAACTCCGCCCCCCCAACAAGCTCCGTCCCTCCCGCCAGCTCCAGCCCCGTCACCGTACCCACGGGAGCGGCCGTCAAGGCCGGCCCAGTCAGCGCCTTGTTCGCCATCGCCCTCGCCGTTCTGGCACTCTAAGTAGACCGCCTAGGCGTCACGGAGGGCTTCGAGAACGGGGCAAGGAAGACACCGCAATGATAGCGGACTCAACGGCACGGGGACCCTTTCGGGGGCCATGAACCCGGGTTTCTGATCCGGCTTGGGTAGGAAGGGTATACCGGTATAACGAAAGGCTTACGACACTCATTTTTTCACGGCGCGGATACCCGATTGGAAAGTTTCGAGATGGGATGGATTGATGTTTTTTTCCCCGGACACAACAACAAAAATAAAATAAACACCCCCTTCCCCCCCTGCGGGCTAGTAATGCTAAGGAATTCGCGATATGTCTTATGAATGAGCTAGCGCACTTCTCGGTGATGATTTACCGGGTTAGTTGCAGTCGCGAGGCTGATTTATTTTTTACATAGAATATACTACTTTTTTTGATTTTGAGGCACCCCTTTGGCTTTGCTGACTTTTGTTCACGTGCTTTGTTGACGATTTTTGCGTGCGTTGTGAATTGTAACTCGGGACATCGTGCCATTCACCCGGCCTGCTGGTCGCCACCGACGGCCAAGACATTTAGCACCTCGTATTTACAATCATACGCCACCCACCTCCAGGCCATGCACCGGTCTCTGACTGGTGCCGTCGGTGGTATTGTATGTAGTTGTGTGAGTGTGCTTATGTGAGTGGTGGACTTCAAAGAGCGGGCTTATGCACGCCATAACGTACATACTATTATGCACTAGTAAAAAGTGAGGATATTCCGCCGGCTCGGTCGCGTGAGATGGGACGGGCAATGGAGGGGGGAGGGGGAGGGGCAGGGGGCTTGGCAAGCCGTGTATACGGGGTAGGTATCTATCGTGGTCAGCATCGCATCCGTGGAATAGTTTGCGAAATTGCGATGGCTAGAAAGCCTGAGTATTTCGATTTTGCCGAACCAAAGAACCTCCAACGGCCAGACCCTGGATATTCACTTGAGTGGCATGGCAACATCAGGGCTGCAGGTACGGCAACGTTCAAACCGACGAAGGTGAGATCGGCCTGGCAGGAGGATACTGCCGTCGCCGCACATGAACGCATCTCTAGGCAATATCAAAACCAGAGAATGCAGAGACCTATTACTTCATACAGCCCTGACTATTCCGTATAGGATGGTTCCTTGCTCTTCTGCTGCTAGTGTCCGGGGTGATATTTCCCCTGTCAGAGTCGGAAAAGGCTTTGTTAGTTAGGGCCATATAACCAGCCTCGGTAACAGTCGACCATTCATTCACTTACAAGTATCAGCGTAGTATTCATTCCAATTACTTACTGCCGCAACAGTCCCCCAAATCCGTGTTATTGCTTGGCCTTCTGCCGGGTCACGACACGTTGCTCGCCCTAGTCGTGCGGCATTGGCTGGCTCCACGGGGTAGTTTACCCTGGTATAGGCAATAGTGTACATACGATGTTGCATCTGTCTCTATTGGACGGCAACGTAGCGTGTGTAAGCGCCCAGTCTTTTAGACTGAGCTTGGCACCAGGAAGGAAAACCATGATTCTCATGAATATTAACAGAGCGACGTTGGGTTGCCATGATCCCCAAGTCGATAGTCGCTGCTCTGCAGGGCTATGACCATAATTCGCTCATAAATCTCCCGTCCGGGCTAAAAATAACGGCGTTGTAGCGTTCTCAGTGTGAGCAACGCTGACCAAGATGCGGGGGATAGAAAGTAACCCGGTGTCTCGTCATGTTGTGGGTGTTGTGTTTTTGCCTGTGAGCGACGTTTTAGCTTTCGACGTCTTCGGGTCATGTTGGCTGAATGATATGGAAGCCCAATGATGTAATTGAAACGAAGTAGGTATGGGCTATCGGTAGGCCGAAGGTCATCGAGCAACTCCTGCAGGGGCGTGTATTGAGTGCTGCTACTCCGTTCAAGGCAATAATCACCGATGTTATCCCAGGAGAATATGAGGGCTCATATATTGTAGGTAGCAGTAAATTCACGGAATTTCTGCATGAGTCCGATTCTCTTGCGCCATAATGAGTCTACAACGGACTGGACCATC